TTCGCCATCAAGTCCGCCCACGCTCTGCGGCACTCATGGGGTTAACCCAGAGCTTGGTTGGCGACTGTTGCTACGGCAGCGAGAAGCCGAGTCCGGGAGGCGCGGTGCATCATGGGAATGTTAGTTTCAGTTCCTCCTCCTGCCATGCAGTTCTAATAGTAATAAACTACATTTCCCAGCAGCCATTTCTCTCCGATTTAAAGGTATTTCCTTTCGGTCTGTCGGCTTTGTGCTGTGCAGAGTATGTTTTTGTTTTCGTCTGGATCTGAGAGCTTCACTGAGGAGGAATTTCAGGTATGAAGACGTGTAAATGAAGGTACATTCGGAGTGTGAGGGGCTGATGTGGAACTGGAAGTGTCAGCATGTTGGCAGCTTTATGTCTGCAGTTGCAGGGCAATGTGCCCCTGATTTCTTTTTGACAGAGCAGATCCTAACTGGGAAACATTGAAGGGGGATTTATCAAATACTGGAGCAGACAGAATCTGGAGCAGTTGCCCATAGTAACTAAGCATCTTCTGTCTTTAGATTGTTAATATAAGCTTTGAAAATATAAGAGAGAAGCTGATTGGTTACTGCGGATGAATGCTCCAGATTCTGTCTGCTCCAGACAGATCATTCCCCTCATTGTCCCTGGAAATGTCCCTGGTTTCCAGCAATGACCGACTGTCCCGTCTGATGACAGCAATCCCGGCTTTTAGGGCTCATTCACACACAACGCAAGCAAAATTGTATATTGCGTCTATAAGAGCGTCTATGCGTGTCTATACGAGCGTATATGCGTGCACTATTTGCATTTCCAGAATGCATCATTCCTAATGGAAAGTTTAATGAACTGTACGCATATACGCGCGTATATATGCGCAAACATGCGTATGCGTGGAAAATACGCAGAAATACGCTGCCCGGACGCATCTCGGTTCCACTCTGTTTTTGCGCATATATACGCTACGCAAATATACGGCTCCATACGCGGCTATGTGTATGGAGCCATTCATTTGCTTGTGTTGCATATAGTACTATACGCACATACGCGCGGCAGTGTGAATGAGGCCTTAATAGAATATTTACAAACACGGATACAAATGCTCACAGAGATTTCTCTTTCAGTTTTCTAAACATATAATTGAGTATATCCGGCTCCACCATGGAGGATGAAATGGTTCTCTGGAGCAGGAAATGAGTTAAATCCACCAAGGGCCCATTCACACCGCAGTGTGCGAGTTATCATGTAGTGTTAACCCTTCCCTACTCTAGCCACAATTTGTAAAAAAAGTTCTGGCTTTAGATATTTGTAATCCTAGGACAGGAAGTGCCTGGTGTCACCCTACGACGGGAAGTGCCTGGTGTCACCCTACGACGGGAAGTGCCTGGTGTCACCCTACGACGGGAAGTGCCTGGTGTCACCCTACGACGGGAAGTGCCTGGTGTCACCCTACGACGGGAAGTGCCTGGTGTCACCCTACGACGGGAAGTGCCTGGTGTCACCCTACGACTGGGAAGTGCCTGGGGTCACCAAATAGGAGGAAATGTCTATTGTCACCCTATAACAGAAAGGGTATGCTGTCACCCTAACAGGAAGGGCCTGCTGTCACCCTATAATAGATAGTGCTTGTTGTCACCCTATAAAAGGAAATGTCTGTTTTCACCCTATAAAAGAAAGTACATACTGTCACCCTATAACAGGAAAATGCCTGTTGTCACCCTATAACAGGAAACGCCTGTTGTCACCCTATAACAGGAAACGGCCTGTTGTCACCCTAAAACAGGAAACGGCCTGTTGTCACCATATAAGAGGGAAACGCCTGTTGTCACCCTTTAAGAGGGCAACACCTGTTGTCACCCTATAACAGGAAACCGCCTGTTGTCACCCTATACCTGGAAAGCGCCTGTTGTCACCCTATAAGAGGGAAACGCCTGTTGTCACCCTATAACTGGAAAACGCCTGTTGTCACCCTATAAGAGGGAAACGCCTGTTGTCACCCTATAAGAGGAAGTGCTTGGGATTGCTAGGAAGCACCCATGGCAGGATCACCGGGCATTATTTGAATGAAAGCTGCAGATTTGACTTTTGACAATGAATATGAGATCCCATATAACATTACCGGACGAAACGCCGAACGAGTCTCGGAATCCAGGCAGCCGATAGTCGGGATTACCGGAGCCGGAATCAGGAGTGTCCCCTTTATAGTGAAGAGTCTTTAGAACATGTCGGGGCCCCTGATCGTCTGACCGCTGAGACCATATGACAGGTAGACAGCGGCCTCTAAAACGGCTCAGAAACAGCTTTTTATACATTTTTGGACCTTTTTAATATCAACGCTCTGCGTTCTCCATTCCAGACTCCACCGCTTTGCCATCCGCCGTTCATTAAATGGCGAGAATAACTTTGGCGCACCATACTGGAGGCGAGCATTATACCGCCCCCAATTTAATGTATTCCCTGCTAATTGCATGTTTGCTGCAGGTCGGCGCATGGCTTTAAATAGCTGAGCGGTAAGCGGCGTACAGTAAACAGCGGCGGAGCACCGCGCTTTATGTGAAATGTTATGCCATGAATTATTTATGGCGCCCAATTTACTGCGCCACTGCAATAAATACTGCAATATAACAGGAGGCTGTGCGGAAAGGTCAGAATCTTGTTACATTTTGAAGATTCATCTTTTTTTTTAATCAGGGTTCCTAAAAAGAAGAAAAATTGCGCTGCGTCGGCGTTTCGTGTCCCCAAGGTAATGCCGCCTCTGGCCGTCCATTTTGTAGCTACGCTGAACACAGAGCGCTGTATCGA